CTGTTCATCAGCTTCCGGAACCACACTGAGCTTCTTATCACTGGATCTTCTTGTCGACAACGGTTGAGGCATCTTCTCCGCGGAAACGACGTTTTTGATGAAATCCTGAAAACAGATGAAAATTGTTTTCAAGTTAATTGAATTGTTCATCCTTACGCTCTGACTCACATGTCGAATATCACCCTCTTCGCAACGTTGAATAAGCTCTTTGGAGTCGCGTGATTCGCAGTATTTGTCCTTTCTGGAAACAACAAAACAGTGAAACTACCAGGGGGAGAGATCAATGTTAACTTTGAGCTTTTATATCTCACTTCCTGTAAGAGATATCAAAAATCTGTCAACTGATAAAACACTACTGATATCATGATAATCAATTTGTCCGTTGACAACTTTTTGAATTCTTTTACAGGTATCGAGATATATGGGATCAAGGTTAAAAGTTCGCAGTGGCGTTCTATTAGAGTGTTTATGTGAACTACTTTGAGTGTCAATTAATTTTTTGTTGATAAAATGTATACCAGGTGACTGATAAAAACGACTTTATTTGTCGTTTAACACAATGCGGTTTTTTCGCAGAAAATTGGAATTCTAAAGTGATCAAAAAATCAGAAAAAAAGGAAAGATTTAACTAATCTTATCAAACTTTAAGTGAATTGGAATCGCTTCAACAAATGAGAGAGTAAAGTTTATTGGAAAAATCGGGACTCGTGTTTTTGACAACTTCTTGAATATTGTTACCTTTGAGCCTATATATCTCGATTCCTGTAAAAGATATCAAAAAGTGGTCAACTGATAAATTGTTCATCATATTATTTCAAATATTTTATCAGTTTACTACTTTTTGATATCTTCTACAGGAACAGGATAAATTGCCTCAAAGTTGACGGCTTACATAGCCTCAAAGGACGGCATTCTTTAGAGTGTTTACGGCAAATCGTATTCTTACTAACAAAAATCCTACGATTTTGGTTCAAGCATCTATTTGTAAATTCTGAAAATAAGCTATTCCGAAGTTCGTAGTTCCAAGTTTCTAGAAAAAAAAGATTGCAAGTGAAGCTCCTTCAAGCTACACTCTAACGAAGTGTCACTGAAGTCATCAGCTTTGAACCTATATATCTCGGTTCCAGTAAAAGATATCAAAAAGTGGTCAACTGGTAAAATATTTATCATAATATCACCAATATTTTATCAGTTGACACATTTTTGAAATCTCTTACAGTAACCGAGATATATGGGCTCAAAGTTGACAGTGCGGCGGGCCCATCTATTACAGATGTTACGGTATTACGCTTGTCCGTATTAATGCACATTGAGAGCGGATATTTCGTTAAAACTTTCTTAATGACGCTAGAGCGAATTACCGTTTTTTTAAAGCCTGTTTTTGCAATTTTCGACGATTTTCATAGTTTTTTTTTCGTTGTAAATCGGGGAAAATCGTTAAAAATGATGAAAATCGTCGAAAAATGATTAAACAGGAAGATAGTGATTAAACTAGGCTTAAAATGTACTGTTGTTTAAAAGTAGGGTTGCTCCTTAACGAAAATTTTAACGAAATATCCGCTCTCCAAGTGCATTGATTTCGGAACCTGTTCTTTTCTCAAATAGCTTCTGAAGAATCTTCTAGAACACTCACCTTCCCGACGTGGCATTAACCATAGCATCCGGACAAAGTGCCATCGAAAGAAGCCACAAGAAGAACATGACACAACAAACAATCACAATGGCAATAATCGCCAGTAATTCGTTCATGACCTGGAACATTTTTGTCCAACGGAATACTTTTTTGAGTACAGTTTAACACGGAGAAGAAGAAGAGTTCGAGATAAGAGAAAAGGGGAGAGAGGGCGGCGCCACTTCGATTAACATTCTTTTTTCCAGTTGGGTTCTCCTTTGATTTTTGAGTCTAACAGCTGCTTTCGTCAACTATACTATTTTTTACGATTACAACTTTTTGAAAAGTGACCGGAAGTTCTTTGAGGAAACTTCTGGAAGGGAACAAAGAAAAATGAAGAGAATGTGATGTTGTGCAGACCACGGAGCGAGTCCGGATCGATTTTGGAGGAGGGAGGGTGATGATGCACCAGACGCACTCCGCATTGCTCATACTATTTCCCTCTTACTCTTTCTTCACTTCGTTTCCTATGTTTGAGAGGTGTCTTCTTTTTTCTTCTTTTTTTCAATTCAATTCACTTCGCTAGATATTTTTGAGAGGAAAAGAAGAAAAAAAATTGAAAGAAAGGAATTTTAATTGAGCTATTTGGCGGGTTGGTATGCAGTTCCTCTCCTTCGTCAAGCATCTGGAATTTCAATTTACAACTAGAGAGTTGAAAACGAAGAAAATTCAAAAAAAAAAACAAAAAAAAAACCATAATTAATTGCACTTGCTATATCACATTAAAAACCCAAAGGTTAGAACCGAGAAACAGAAAAAAGAAAGGAAACAGTTAAGTGAAATATTACATAGAAAAAAAAGGCAATAAATTCGAATAAATTACTTAAATACAAACATGATTAGGCGGTGGATTCAGAGGCGAATTTATCCTTCTCTTTCTCGAATTTCAGAAGACTTTCCACGTTTTCAATTGGAAGATAGTGGAGATTCTCATACGCGTTCGCTGGATTTCCCAGATGATCGACGATCATTTTGTAGACTTTGATGAATTCCAGCGTGTTTCGCTCGCGGATTTTTTGACTGAAAAGCAATAATATTTCTCTGAAATAAGACTCTGGGAAGTTACCGTTCTTCTGAAGCCAAAATTTGCTGATCGAGATCATAAGTGTGGTCAGAGGCAGCATTGAGATGAAGGAATTGTGTGAACTTAACGAGAGCATCGCCAACAGTAATGGATTCGAGGCCAGGAAGAGTCGAAAGCGGTTTTTTCTCTTCTGGACACACTGCCATGAACTTTTGATACAACTCTAGAATTCCAGATTTCTCCAGCATTTCCGACACTTGCACCGACACCAATACATCAGAATTTCCTTCGATCATAGCGTCGATCATTTCGATTTTCTTTTTGAACGCTGAGATTTCTGAGATGGCGCTTCTAATGACTGTTAGACAATTGATAGTGAACACGGAGACATCAACATCCGATTTCAGCCTAGTGGCACTTAGTTGAACAGTTCGAATCAGAGGCTCCAAAACGTATTCATAGATTCTTTCTGGCTCCAGAAGCAGGATTAGATCTCCGGTTTTGATGGCGATGGAGATGAGACCATGGTAAAGAGATAGACATTGTCGGACTTCTGGGACCGGAAGGAGATCGTAGTGAGGTGCAGTCATCTTTCTCATCAGCCCATCCACGTGGTGGTTGATTCCTGGATGCACACTTGACGAACAGTCTTCACAAGCTCCACAAGCATCTGCGTGAAGTGACTGTCCTTTCGGATAAGAGTCTCGAACTTGTCAGCGTAGAAAATTAGAATGTTTCCCATTTTGAAAATGGTCACGGCATCTTTTTCAGTGGATAGTAGCTGTTCGACACGGATCTGAAAGCGATTTTAGATTTTAATTTCGGAAAGTAGAGTTTCACCTTAAACGGAGACGTCAGAGACTTCAGACACTCATCTAGAACAGCTGGCATATTTTCAGAAGTGCAGATTGAACTGAACAGCTGCTTCTCTTGCTCGGTGAGCTCATGAATCGAGGTGAGCATGTCTCCGACAGCTTTCAGGGGTTCTGCAAGGCCTTCTGGCATTTGAACAGCCATTTTGTTAATCTCGACGAATTGATTGAGCAGGTCTTGTGAGCGGGAGGAGATATATTGATCTGAAAAGAAGGAAAAAATTAATTTCAAATTTCAACGGGAAGTCAAAAAATACCTATAGCTAGCTGGAAAACCGCATCGTTTTGTTGAATGATCTTAAATGCCTTCGAAAGAATTTGTTTTTTCTGATGAGAATCCACTGTCAGATTTTGGAATTCTCTCTTCAGATTATTACAGATAATCGCGTGGCTTCTCTCATCAATTTTCTGCATCTTCTCCATAACTTCGAATGCTGCTAGATGGCCTTGCTCCTGAACCATATTCCGACAATTTTCTCGAATCTCGTGACATCTTTCAAGCACCTTGAAGAAGAACTCCGAGAGATGTCCGGTTTGTTCACACTCTTCTAGCTCTCGCAACTCTTCAGCAGTCAAGGAATGATTCTCGAGAAACTCGTTGATCGCGTTGCATCTTGTCTCTATACTTGCTTTCTTTTCTTTCAAATTCGCTGTCTTTTGAACCAGATCCACGCTCTTGAATTTTACAGTTTCCATCTGTTTCGACAAGTTTGTGCAGGTCGAATTCATCTTGACACATAGCTCGTCGAACTTTTGAACGATGCTGTTAATCTGAATTTTTAAGATTGCTTTTTTCCAAGCCATTTCATTCTAACTACCTTCTCAAACTCGCTGAGATACTCTTTATTCAATCGCAACTCGTATTTTTCCAGCTTATTGTGCAGTTTTCTGTCGAGATTTGAATCCAGATTCATGTCGTCTACCAGTGGAGTCATAAAGTCGGCTATTTTAATGCAATCCTGAACATAAAAATTCTTGTTTTCTATTTTCTTTAGTATGTTTAGCTGACCTTGTCGTTATATAGCTTCTTTGAACATGCGCTCATCACTTTTTCCCGTAACGGGTTTACTGCAGATGAAGGTTTGTCTATCACCGACATTTTTATTAGATTTATTTGATTTTCCGAAAAGAATTTCAGGGGAAATTCAGAAAAAGTTCCGAAGAATTCAGTGAATATTCTGAATTCAAACCTGCTTGATTTGCCAGCGTGTCACAACGATGCTCCGCTATTCCACATGCGCGCGTTGTTTAGTGGTGACTGACAACAGCCCGCCAATCGAAAATCGGTTCAAACGCGTCGAATTTTCTCGCATTTCTTGCCGTTCATTTGCTCTTTCTTCTCTCTTCTCTTCTGAATTTTCGCCGAAATTTTCGGACATTTCCCATTTTCTCGCTATAATTATTCAAAAACTCGCAGGCGCTGCAATCAAAGATGAACGGCAAAGAGAATTCCGCGCCCGTAGAAACAGACGACCAGAGAGCCGAGGTACACTCGCAGTTTACAGAAGCACATCGATAATTTTACAATTCTAGGTTATCTCTCTAACTGAAGACCGCAAACCTCACAAAATGCAAGCAAAGGAAGAGACATGGTAATAGCGAAAGTTTCGTTTCATGTCGATAACTGTTTTTCTTTCAGTTGGAGCCTCGATGATTTCGATGTCGGTCGGCCGCTTGGAAAGGGAAAATTCGGCAACGTCTTCATTTCTCGTGAGAAGAAAACAAAAAGGATCATCGCGCTGAAAGTGCTCTTCAAATCCCAGCTCCTTCAGCTCGGTGTCAGTCATCAGTTGAAGCGAGAAATCGAAATCCAGTATCATTTGCGGTAAGTTGTCAGCTCCTTGGCTATTCTAAAGCGAACATTTTCAGTCACCCGAACATTCTCACGCTCTACGGATACTTCCACGATGACAAGCGTGTGTTCGTCATACTCGACTACGCCAGCCGAGGAGAGCTGTTCAATGTCCTCCAGGCGCAACAGGGACACAAAGTTTCCGAGGTCATTGCGGCCAGGTACTTTGTTTCATTCGATTTGAATTGAATCGTATAAATCAATCGTTTAGATTCGTTCGACAACTCGCCAACGCATTGAAGTACTGCCACTCGAAAGGAGTCATTCACAGAGACATCAAGCCAGAAAATCTTCTCCTCGACTCGAAGCTCAATCTTAAGGTGAATAGCCAACTAGCTCGAAATTCATAGTTTGCGATCGCCACTAACTTAGCAACGCTCTCCTGAGCTTCGCTCGTGATGAACGCGTCCATTCGGCCGGCGCGCCGCACGAATTTACTGCATTTGCGCGTCAGAGTGTTTGCGTACACAGAATTTTACCTTACGACACCGTATTCTATAAATGCGCTGTACGTCGTAAAATTGAAAAAAAAAACCGGCAAATGGGAACCTAGACTCAAATTTAGCGCCAATCCAAGTTTGGACGCGTCGCGTGTCGGCGTGGCGGTCGCGAGCTGGCACTACATGCATCCAAAGCCTGCCCCGACACAAGAAACACCCAAAAAAAACTAAAATTTTACAGCTCGCTGACTTTGGATGGTCAGTGGTCGCGGATCACTCAAAACGACACACCCTCTGTGGAACGATGGACTACCTGGCCCCGGAGATGGTTTCGAATCAACCGCACGATTTCAATGTCGACATCTGGGCCATTGGAATTCTCCTGTTTGAGATGCTCGTCGGATTCGCTCCATTCGCCAACCAGACTGGAGACAAGTTGATCGCCAGAATCAAGGAGTGCAAAATCTATGTAAGTTTTTGGATTTAGCTTCACTTGTTGTGCAGTTTCTCTCATGGTTTTCGACTGCTGACCGTAAATTTTCCGGTCAGAGGTCGTTAGAGAACTGCTATATAAGCCTAGCTCGAGATGCGTGTGCTGGTTTGCTTCCAATGCGAACTGGTTCCTTTTCTCCTCGGGACAATTCTCTCGCTCCTTCAAATTCTCCACCACAAACTGTCATTTTTCCAGATCCCAAGCACAGTGAGTGACGGAGCGGGCAGCTTGATAAACGCGATAATCAAGAAAGAGCCCAGCGAGCGGCTTCCTCTGAACGACATTATGGCTCACTCATGGATCAAGGAAATGCAAGAAAACGAAGAGATCGAAGTTCAAAAGTTCCTTCAAACGCTCACCAAGACGTCGTCCCGTAACAATTCGAGCAGTAACCAATAAATAGATTTTCTCTCCTTTTCTTTTTTTAAATTTCGCTCATTAAAATGACTCTACATGTCTTTCTCGTCTTTCCATTCCCCCATATCCCCTTTTTAGAACCGTATTCCATACGGCTACTAACTCTCCTATCCTCTTTATTTTTGTTTCATTTCTCTCAATTTTTAAGTTTTTTCCCCACTCGTCTTTTACTATTCACCACTACTATTAGAGACGACGACATTACTTGTTTAAAATTCGCCTTATTACTATTTTCGAGTGTAAATTGTTATTAGGTTCCCGTGAAAGTACTGTATCGCGTATGTTTCCCTTTTCGCTTTGTGCTGCTGCTCCAAACCCAGTTTATCCCTTCTCCTCCTATTTCTTCTCTCATCAGCATCCAGGTGTACTAAGTATCGTATAAATTGAATGGAGCTTCTAGACCTATTTTATCTCGTTTTGCTCTTTTTTGACTCTTTTCCCACCCAACAGATTCTCACGCGAAACACAATACAAAATCCCATATTCAAATAGCGGTATGGCGGTAAGTAGATGGGGACACCTTACCGCCGCCACTGTCCTTTTGGCTTTTTCCGACCTAAAAAAGTAGCATGTAGTGCAAACAATGGCATTAACGAGTTGTGCCAACCATTTAGCTCGTCAGCCAAGAACTTGCCAATCCCTTTTTGGAGAAAATTATAATTTGGAGATAATTTGACAAGGAATGGGATCAGTGTATGCGCGAAACAATGTGCAGTGCACATCCGTTGGTACATATTTGAAAAGAGATTTATGAGATATATATATATATATGTACAATTAGGTCAGTACAAATACAAGTGATACTGTATATTATTAGGCGTTTGTCAAGTGGTTTCTTGCGTAATTGGAAGAGAATTAGAAGCAGAAAACATTGGAAAAGGAACTGAAAAAAAACAGAACTGAAAAAAATTAAACAGAACTGAAAAAATTGGTAATTCTGAGCTGGTATTATGATGGTACAAAAAAATCGAAGTTGTGGAGGAGCACGGCATCGCGGTTTGGAACCTGAAAAACGCGCGCTTCGTCGCACACAAAAGTTGGCTGCGTGCCACATTCAAAAATTTTGAAACGTGTTTTGAAAAAAACGTGAAGTTAAGCGTTGTTGAGTCGCTACTCACCGAAAAGCCGCGACGCGATCGCGCTACGCGTCCAAACTTGGCGCGCTTTCCAATTTTTAAATCTAGGTTCTCTTCCGCGAGGCCGTGGAGGAGAAATGAGGCTAGACGTGGCCCAAGGTCCCACAGCGACAACTACAGTAACGTAAAACCATTATGTTCTTGCCCTTTTTCCATTTTTCGATGAATCTCATTGATTTTTAACTATTTTTCCCCCAAAATCCGACAAATCACAGAAAATTTTGAATTAGATTTTGAAAAAATTTAAATTTTTGCAAACAAGAATCCAAAAAATAGAAAAAAATTCATAAAAACAATGAAAATTATTGAAGAACCGATAAAATTTATCGAAAATTCGTAATACATGTTCCTTTGGTTGCGCCTTTAAGAATTTCGTGACCGGACCTCTCGAATTCCTTTGACATCAAAAAGTAATAATGAGCGCGGCATCTCTTCGGAACATCATGTAAATGCGCTCGAACGTTAATTTTAGAAGTTTTCGTTGGTCTCGACACGAAAGCTTCAAATTGAACTGCAGAGTCTTACGGTTTTGTGCCTGCATTCCATTGAGACAACACGGGAAAAATTATGATTAAAAATGTTCCAGAAAAAAACACTGGGCTTATTTCAGGAAAACCGGGCAAATTGAAACACAGAACAATTGAAACGTTTTCCAATTCCAGAATTCCAGAATTTTCAGATTCCCGACTTCTTCTCCTTCTGATCTTCCCACTGAACTACCTATTATTTGTTTCTTTTAGCTTCCTTTCTGTTTCTTACCAGGCTGGTGGTACTAGCTCAACAAATACCTCACATACCAACAAATCAGCTTCTGTTTGTCTCACCAAAGACGATAATGGGCGGAGCGGTGGAAGAGATTAAGATTCCGCGGTGGTGGCGGCCGCCACGGACCAGTTAGTTTTGGGACCCAGCTCAGCACAGTCACACTCGCTCGAGCATGAATTGCGACGCAGCTCAACCGTGGATGATGTCCTCCTATCATCCATCGGATGTCTTCTGGACTTCTCCAACGTCGACGTCAACGACTCCAGAAGCTCAGCAATATGTTGCTGGATACGGTATGAGGTAACCTGA